TGATTTTTTCAAAAATTTTCAGAAAACCTATATCAATTTTTTTCCCGCAAAATCTGAAATTCCCAAGCCTGTAGTTGGGTCCTGTCAGATTATTCTCAAAGATTGCGAATCTTGCCTCCAAATATGACTGCTCAATTCTTGGTAGTTATCGAGATATGAGGTTTTTGGTGATTTTTTCAAAAATTTTCAGAAAACTTAAATAATTATGATTTTTTGAAAATCAGAAATTCTCAACTCTGTAGTTGGGTTTTTTCAGAGTACTATCAATGATCGTGAATCTTGCCTCCAAATATGACTGATCAAATCCTTGTAGTTTTCGAGATATGAAGTTTTTGTGATTTTTTCAAAAATTTTCGGAAAACTTGAATTAATTATTTCTCAAAATTTGAAATTCCCAATCTTGTAGTTGGGTGCTGTCAGAGTAATTTCGAAGATTGCGAATCTTGCCTCCGAATATGACTGCTCAATTCTTTGTAGTTTTCGAGATATGACGTTTTTGGTGATTTTTTCAAAAATTTCCAGAAAACTTCAGAAAGTTTAAATTAATTATTTTTTAAAATTTGGAATTTCCAACGATATAGTTCGCTGTTGTCAGGGTACTCCAAAGAGTTGCAAATCTTGCCACATGCGACTGCAAAACGCGACTGTTCAAATGCTTTTAGTTTCCGAGATGTGACCTTTTTTGATTTTTTCAAAATTTCTCAAAGAACTTATCTACAAAGAAATTCAAAAATTTGAAACTAGTAACTTGATGAAGATACAACCTTATTGTCAGCGTACACCTAGGCGTCTCAAATCTTGCCTCATAATTTGAATGCTTAATCTTTTTAGTTTCCGAGATAAGACGTTTTTTTTTTAATTTTTTTTTTTCGGGAAACAGGTTTAAAAAAATTCACAAAATCTTAGATTCCTAACCCTATAGTAGGGTGCTCTCAGGGAATCTGTGTTTGCAAATCTGGCCTCCAATTTTCTCCAGAGGCCCATCAAGTTTTCCAGATGACGCTTTTAAAATGGGAATTAAAAAAGTTTGAAATTACCAACCCTGTAATTGGCTGCAGTCTGAGTTCACTAAAAGTTTGCAGATGTTGTTTCCAATATATACGGTTTTTCATGACCTCGAAATGATTCGAAGCACCGAAGGTGCGTTAAACGCTAGTTTCTATTATTTCCTTTGTTTTCAAGTTTTTATTCGGCTTTTGTATACCGGTTTTGTCACATCATTGCATTCGTGTGCGCTCTGGGGTATGTGGAACTTCTTACTGCCCTCTGCCCAGGTTTGTTGGCTTTGTTGCCGATTCAATCCGTTTGCGAGAACATGTGACTTGTAACTAAACTTTGTTCCCATAAACAACTTTCCTTTAAAATCTTTAGGGAGATGAACTCGCTCTTTTATTGAATCTGAACAATTTTCAGGATCCTTCTTGGAGGTAACGTGGGCGCCTTTACAGCATAAAGTCTGGAGTTGGAATCCGGATGGACCTTGTTTTTTTCAGTCTGATTTATTTTTTTTGTTCTTGTGAATTTTGGAGTTGTAGGAGTCTGTTTTGTCTGCTCAATTTGTGTTGGCTTTATTTCCAAAGCATGTAATTTATATTCGATTTGAAAACTTATGATTAGAAAAATTAGTTGTGAATTTACTATATCTGATTTTGAATCAATTTTTCTGAAATCAATCAAAAAAAGTTCCGGCTAGTTTTATCGGTTTATTTTGCGCAGTTTGAATTGCCAAAATTGATTTCTGTCCTCCGAAGTTTTTCAGGGGAGATGTGTATCAGGGGGAAGGGAGCTCAGAAACAAATGTAGGACAATAGTTTTAAAGGCAATTTTGTTTTCGGCTCAATGGGTGCCTGCCCAAGTGTTGTCGACTTAGTAGCTAGCTGCTCGGTCAATGAAAGTTTTTTGAATACTCTTGGTTAGTTACTCAGTTTAATTTCTTTCTGAAATTGAATTTTTTTTTCTCAAATAAATGAAATAAATTTGATTCATTTTTTTTCGATGTGTTATCCGTCTCATTTTTATTTCCTAGCTTTGATGCTATTATTGAGTTGAATAGCAATTGTTTCGATGCTCAGCTTTGCGTCTGTGTGAAGTTTGGTCTGTTGTAATTCAGCACTGATAATTTTTGATCAGTTTTCCAACAAATTGAATTAAAGATTAAAAAAATTTCGATAGATGTTTTTTGTCCGAAATTTTTTTCAGGTTTGTGGTTTTTGTCGGCTAGTGTTTTTTGTCGCGTAAAGGCTCAATTAGTGTTTTGAGTAGCTCCTATAAGTGCAATTTTTTACTGAGCTTTTTCTCTAAGTTTCCTTAAACGACGTTACAGACTGATACCTCCGTTTCCTAGAAATTTTTTTTTTCGTAAATCTTGATTTTATTTCATTTCAAGTTTCGGGAGTGAAGTTTTATGAGCTTTCCCTTCTCTTCAAATTGTAGTACCGGCTGATTGTGACTAAAATTGTTTTTAATTAGTTACGCTGATGTTAATACGTCACGTTATTTGTGAAGCAAACCACAGATAATATTCATTTTTTATTGGAAAGTCATCATATCAAAACTCTTAAAATCTAATTTTGCGTTGTGACATTCGAAAAAAATGTTTCGACTCCTACGTTTGTTTTAGATTTAAGATTTACGTATAAAAATTTTTGGCATCGTTTATACATTCGATTTCCCAATGCAAGGCTATTGGAAAGTACTCGATATTTGCTTCGTTGGTTAAAAAGTGCTTTTTTTAGATTTAAACAATGTAAAGTTTCAATTACTTTGACATGTAGCAACTGTATGATTGATCCCAACATTTTGTGCGGCATCTTGCAGTCCTATGTCCAGTCCAAACCTCACGGGCAGACAGACAACATCTAGCAAGTCCTACGCTCAGGTCGTAGGAGTTGCAACAAATGCCACTAATGACTATACCAATTTTGGGTTTCCTCTCTATCTGCACACACAGCTTTCCTCCAGTTCGGGAGGTACTAATACACCTATCTCGTCCTGTTCCAGCTGTCATGAGTTAAATAACATCTTGGATGCCGAGGGAGTGTCGGCCTTAAGTAGCAACGAACTGAAGCGAAAGTTGACAAGGGTTCAACACTTTCTGCGAAACAAACGGATTCAATTGAACCATTTCCAAACTAGGTTTACGGAAGCCAAAGATGCACTGGAAAAAGCTGACGATCCAGATTTTAAGTTCAACACTGTTAAAACGCAACTCAATTTATATTACGAGAAGGCTCGGAGCTCCATAGACAGCAAAAAGAAGGCAGAGTGCGACTTGAATGATTTGAAACACAACAAGATATATGAATGGCAAACGAAACATCCAGATTGCAAAACAGCTATGAAGCCCGATCATATGAATTCGAAAATAACCAAGCTACAACAAGAAATAGATTCACTGAAGGATAAAATCGGAAGCTTTGAAAACGATATGAAATACATCGGAGGTGGAAAGGCTGGTAAGGATAGAAGAAGTCTGGCAAATCAAGATTCGAGGGTTGTCGGTAACATTCGTGCTAGCAAAGAGAAGCTATCGACCACCATCAAAAAACGAAATGAGTTGAAATCGTTCATGGAAAAAGTAATTGAACTGCAAGAAAAGATCAAACAAGATGATAATGAATATAAAGAGCTGCAGGCGAAAATCAAGAGTATGAAGGAGGAATCCGATCCACTTCGCAACGCAATTGAACTGCGAGACAAGGTTCAAAGGTTTACAATGGACATCGGTATGCTGGAAATAGAAGAGAAACTGCTCCAAGAAAGGAGAGTACATATCGCAGAGCAGCGTAGAATATCCAAATTGTCGATTGAAAACGAAAGCACGCCGGTCAGAACTGGAGACGGCCCGGGATCCTCGAGTTTAGTCGGACTGAACCGACCACAGAGTAGTCACAAATACATGCATAACCTGGACATTGCTGCACAACTTTTAGCCGAATTGAAAAGCGTACGCGATTTGAAAAGAAACCAACTGCATCAAGAAGTGTTACGGATTTTGGTATATTTTGCTCTCGATGATGTTTTTCTGCGGGATGGACCGGAACCTTGTATAGAGTTTTTGGAAAAGTATCTCAAAAACTCGCCGCCTCGCGGTTGGCCTTCAAAGGGAGATTTTTCGCCGCATAAAACCTCAGGAATTTCTAAGCTAGCAACCGAGAATTATTCTCAAAACGGAGAAAGCGGATATCGAAGTCTGAGTACTGGCGATAGAGCTCTATACGGGATCAGCGATGAGATCATAGAAGCTTTGTCAACTTCGCAATCACAAAATACCTTTTCAGTAGCTCCGCTGACTGATATGGATTCAAGTTCTGTTGGAATATTGGATAGTTCGTCACAAGCACCTCAGGTTTCACAGACAGGCGAACCAGACGAGGATTTAGCAGATGAAGTTGAAGAGCCATTGGCCAGGACGTTCAGTGAGCAGATGTTTTCCAGTCAAGAATCATCAGCGGCCACGCTACAGCAGATTACGAAGGAGTCAGAGAAGACTCCTTATATTAGTGACTGGATGGCTTCCAAGTCAGTATCCAACAGTGGTGTGGCTACATCTGAAGGGAGTGAGAAGAATGAAGCGCCTAACACGGACCCGTCAACAGATTCTTTCAGAAGTCTATCCCTAACATCCAACACCGATTTCCAAAACTTGGAAGAGTATCCGCCCTTGAAACCTTTAGATGAAGATGCTCCTTAAATTACATCAATTCGACTATCGAAGTTGCCAAAAAAATAGCTTAAAACAATTTGCTGAAACATAGTAAAATTGTTCTATTAACGTATTCAGAAATTTTTGTTTGAAAACTCTACATGAGTGTCGTAATTTTATTTTATAGCGCAGGCCTGAGGTCTCTTAACTCATTCAGCTGTCATCTTTTCAAAATAAATAATCAATCAAATTGAAAAATACTTTTAGGCTAACCCTGTTTTCAAAAATTTCAGCGTTATTTTCTGAATGAATCTGTATTCAATAATAGTGTCTCAATCTGTATTCAATAATTTTTAAGAATGAGTTTGGCATTGGTGATAATTTTGAGCTGTATCTGTGGAATTCTTGGTTCCAACGAAAATCAGCCCATGCAGAATCAGCCCATACAAAATCAGCCCATGCAGAATCAGCCCATACAAAACCAGCCCATTCAGAATCAGCCGATGCAGAACCAGCCGATGCAAAATCAGCTTAAACCGAACATCCAACAAGTAATATATTAAAATTTGTTAACATAGAAAACTGATAGATAATGATATCTAGAACTAAAAGGTTCTATGAAAAAAGACATTTACTTCAACTCCGAATAGTGTCAGACCGCAGTACCAAAGTTTTAGCAATAAAAAATTATTAATATTCACCGTGTCACTTTTTTGAAAGTTTTTTTTTAAATTTAGCCAGAGCACGTGTCTTATCGGGAACAAAGCGTTTTTTTTCCTGTAATTATCTTTTCTCTCAGTCCAAATCCGGTAGTCACAGAAATTGGTTTTCAAGAGTCATTTAGTAACTTATTACGTGGGAGATTAGCAGGCCAAAGCAAATCGGAACATGGACTTTTTTGTGAGGTTGACAACTGGGCTTCTCTAATAAAATCAGTTGATCATTCAAAAGGTTGTTAGATTACACTAGCCAGCGAAAAAAAAACCGAGAGAAAAATTTCTTGGCTTCGAGTTATTTAGAAAATGTCTTTTTATTTTTTGTCAACTTTGTTGCCACGCGATTGACTGTTCTTAAGAGTATAGTCTTTCAATGTATTAAAACCCCTTTGTATACTTGAAAGAAACCTATATTAGTTTTATGCCTTTACTATTTGCAACTAGAATTTTATCTGGTTGTTACTATTTGAAATTCTGGAAAAATTGGAATATTTAAGATTCCAAGTTTTTGTTGTCTCGACTGCCTTGCCTGAACCAATTTTTAAAAAGCTTGGTAAGAAAAAAGCTGGACAAAAAAATTATTTCCTGTCAAGCTGTTCAGTCGTTTATCTTCTATTTTCGTTTTGGTTGCACTTAGTTGGTTTTTAACGAGGTGAAGACTAAATGTACGTGAAGACGAAATGTATTGCTCGTGAGGCTTTGATTGTTTTGAAGGAGAAACTATACGATTATTCTGTTCTTTTCTTTGTCTAGTGCAAAAGAATGAAGTAGGTCGTGGTGATTTGTATTTGTTTTCAGGTAAAGGTCTTACCTGAACTTTTGTTCACGCTTTAATTTGATTTTGCGCGGTTTAGTTTTTGATTTCTTGTCAAGGTCAGTGTTTTCCTCTGTTAAAAGGAAGGCAAAATCAACTATCGAACAGCAAAAGTGTAAAGGCGACGAAAACGTGAATGCTTTTAAGTATTTTGACTTTTCTGAATTCCCATCGAAATAGAAAAATTACCCATTGATCCGGTATTCTCTAAATGGATTAATTCTATTAAAAAAATGCTTATGAACTTGAATCAGGCTCAAAATTACTTTTTCGCGGTTTGACTTTTGAAGTTCAGTTCTTTTCCTTTAAAAGGAAGACAAACTCTTCTATCGATCAGCAAGAGCGTAAAGATCACAAAATGAGAGATCGACTCCTAGTTTAGAAAATGGAATTTAGTTCACTGGTTTTACAGCGAAATAAAAACTTCACTTGGGTTAGTTTTATCAAAAAAGTGCTACTCATAAATTCTCTTTGATTGAAATTCAAAGAGCTTTGAGTTACTTGGTAAGGTCAAGAAAAACTTGATCGACTTCTAGTTTCGAAAATGGAATTTGATTTTCGAATTTCCCAGCGAAACAGAATTTAACCTATTGATCCAGTTTTTTCAAATTGGAATAACTAAATTTAAAATGTCAATCATCATTTGTTCTAGAAATTTAAAGAGCTTGAACATAAATTTTTTCTTTGAAATTCGAAAGTTAAGCTTCTTTCAGAAAACAATTATTTTTTATATGACTTTCTTCGAAAGTAAAAAACTTCAATCAACATTTGTTCAGTTTCCTTGTTCTTTAGCAGTTTTCTAACCATCTGTTGGCTTTTTTGAAATCCAAAGATCTTAAAGGTAAGTGTTTTTTTTTCAAATGTTCAAAAATGCACAGAAAAAGTCTGCTCTTCGCTTTCCTTGAAACTTCATTGAAACCTTTCCAACTTTTTGTTGTCGACGTTTCCCCATTACTTAATTTGTTTTTTGAATTTCAGGCTAGGGAGCAACATCAAAATCTAGGCCCACCAAGATTTAAGTTCGACCCAGGAAACGCATTAAATCAGCAAGAAAACCAGAAACCTATGATGCCTGCTGGTGGTGTGCGTGAGAATGCGATGGGGAAAGGGAAAGGGCCAACTGTGCTGATATCGGAAACGCCAGAATGTTCCGTGGATGTCAAAAGAATCTGCGCGGAGGGTGACTGGGGCAACAACTTCAGAACTCTCTCCTGCTTATCCCTCCGAAAAGACGACACTGACTTATCTGATGATTGTCATACGGTATATATAAGAACTATAAGAAAACAATTATCTAACTAAACATCAGAAACTTAAAAATTAACAGAAATATTAACTTAAACGATTGATAAGATTTTTGTAAATCATGCATCAAATATGAATGCGCTTAAGGTTTTTAAGAAATCCACTTGGAGCGTACCTTAGTTATAAAAAAACTTAATGAACATGCCAACATCAGTTATGAAAAAAAAAGAGCATAAAAGTTTTTTTTTCATATTTTCCCCTATTCCATCAATAGTAGTAACCCTGTTAATATGGCAGAATTTTGAACAGTGTAATGCCCCCTTTTAAAACATTATTTCAACTATAAAATCGCAAATACATGACACTTACTGTAATGTGCTGATTTGAATAACTTCTTTTTAGTATGTATGGGAGTACAAACGACAGATGTCAACTGACCCCAGATTCACACCGATGTTGGCCGAGACATGCAAAGAAGACATCGAACAACTGAAAAAGGTAAATAGTGGAACAAGTTTCATAACATTTCTTGTTTTTTACACGCTTTCGATTGCTGAAATATGATGTTTAGGAAGGTACTTGTGGATCAGCTGAGCAGGTGGAATCGAATATTGTATCATGCCTGATGCTGCACAAGGAAAAGATCATGAAGGGAGAGGGAAGGTGCTATCACATGGTCAACAGGATATCCACGATCGTGTTCCAAGACTACCGACTCATCGGACCCTTCTACGAGATGTGCAAAGATGACGTCAACAAACTCAAGTGCGGGTCAGTCGACTCCGATCAGAAGGTTAATTTTGAACTGGTGGAAATAGAGTTATACTCTTACTAATAATCTTGAGAAAACAGTGAAGTTTCTTTTCAGGCAGCTCATTCACAAGGACATGTCATTGAGTGTCTTCGTACCAAAGTGAAGGACGTATCGGCGAATTGTAAAAAGGAAATCCTTTTGGTGGCTGAACTGCAAGCTGATGACTTCAATCTGGATCGAGCTCTCTATTTTGCTTGCAAGTACGACAGGAACAAGCTGTGCGCGTCTGTCGCAGCTGGAAAAGGCAGAGTGTTCGAATGTCTTATGGACAACAAGGCGAACCAGGAAATGTCACCAGAGGTTAGTCTTTTATGGTTTTGTTAGAATCTGCCAATCAATTCATTATGTGCTAGGTAGATGACTTCACTAACTGCATTTCTACTGAATATTAATCTCAAGTATGCGCAGCAATGGAAGACAAATGAAAGCATTTACATTAATTTCGCTTATTTAGCTCATAAAGGAGGCGAAACCAACCTTGCAGTTAATTAGTAATCTCAGCGTCGTTTCTTTTTAGTGCAAAGGGGCTCTGAGCAACAGACAGAAATTGATAATAGAAGACCCGAAGGTGAGCTTTCCTCTGAAACAGTACTGTATGGAAGACCTGGAGAGGTTCAAGGGCCAGTGTGACTTCAATGGAATGGCAGAAGAGCACTCTCAGATGGCCAGCATGCTGCTCTGTCTTGAGTTCAAACAACGCAGTGGTCAGTGAAGCAAAGTATTTTTCGAGCAAAGTTAGACAATATATGTGAATTTTTCTGCTTCGATTGGTCATTTAATTTTAAACTGATTTGGGTTTTGGTTGCTGTCAGCGTGGATGGGTTGGAAATGCGAGGCACTTTTAAGAGTCGATGAACGTACTTCATACTCTTAAATAGGTCGAGATGATTTTTTTCTTTCTTTTTCAGGCAGTCTTTAAATTTGTTCTGGCTCGAATTTACTTTTTCGCGGTTTGACTTTTGATTTCTTTTTAAGTGCAGTTAACTTCTTTGTTAAAAGGAAGACAAACTCCACAAGCGAACAACAAAAGTGTAAAAACAAGAAAAATTTGATCGACTTCTAGTTTCGAAAGTGAAATTTAATTTTCAGATTTCCCAGCGAAATAAAAATTTTACTTGTTGATCCAATTTTCTCAAGGTGGGGTAATTTTATCAAAAAAGTGCCTGCCATGACTTGTTCAAGAAATGCAAAGAGCTTTAATTAAGGGCATATATATTTTTGAAATATGAAAGCTGAGATTTTTTCAAAAAAAACTCAGTATTTTTTTGTTTACTTGCGTTCATTGACTCTTTTCCAACTGTCTGTTGGCTATGTTTCATTGTGTTAAGGTGTTCGTTTTGATATTATCAGGTCTTGTGTTTAATCCCCTGCCATGGCAATAATAGTGAATTAGGAAGAGATCTCACTTGACCTCTAGCTTCAGATCTACCATAGCTTGAGCAATTTGTATCTGAAAGTTATAGACCAAAAAAAAAACAACCTCGAGTTGTAAAAAAAAGATCTTGCTCATCATTATATTGGAATATGTAGAGGTTATATAAAACTGACCGCTTATAAAACTGACTTCTTAGAACGGCTGAAGAAGTATTTCATAGCCCCTCTGCGATTTGCAGAAACCAAAATTATTAGCCTTGCATTAAGTAAGGGTGTTGCACTCGTGTACTGGACATTTTTTACCCGCTAGCAACTTTTGTCACTAGATGACTGAAATTTAGTCATCTCTCTCTGTATTTTTTCCAGCGATTAGACAACTTTTGAGCATGTCAGCAATTTGAATCTCAGTTATGTTCCAAAGTTGTGTTTCATGTTAGTTGTAAATTTACATTTTTCGCTTTCTGTATCTTTTTTTTTGCTTTAATCTCTTTTTTGTCATCATTCGGCTTGAAAAGTTTCGGTTTATGATTTATTCCGGCATATGTTTGATTTATTTGAGCCGAAAAAATTTTGATCTTTTTGTTTTGAGGGTTTACTTAAAAACTTTTTTCAGTTTTTCATTTTTTCTATTAAAACTTTTTTTGTGCAAGGTTTGTCTGTTTAAAAATGGTCGGCTTTGTTACCGTTTTGTTAGTTTTTTTTCGAAGCTTATTTAACTTAAAATTTCTTACTTTCTGGCATATTTTGAAAGAAAATTTTGTTGATGACAAAATCGAGTTAATTCTAGGAAAATTTTCGGTAGATCATGTTTTTCCGAAATTAATTTTTTTTTGCACGTGTTTCATCTCTTTTTCTGTCGATTAGCTTGTCATGCTATGAAAGCTAGGCAAGCCTCACTTCGCCTCTGAATGTAAAGTTTCTGAAGGTCCAGGTAATACAGCTGCAAGATTTCGGATTTTTTTTGCAATTTTTAAAAACAGTTAAGTAAAATAAATCAAAATGGTTGATTTACTAGATGTTCCGATCACAGTATTCAGTGATACTTGATATCCTTGTTACTCTAGAGTTTTAGCTTAAACTGCGAATAATTTCAGCTCTATCACAGCAAGCAATGCCTGATGGCAAAGCGGATAAAGTCAATAGTGAGTTACTGACTGCTTTTGCAGCTCCACAGCTGCATTTGAATTAACATCTCTGTGTTCTGCTCCCACTTTTTATAACTCTAAATATACTGAATTTTCTTCAAACCAACTTGTTTCATTGCTTCAAATCGATTATAGATATCGAATACAATCAATTATATAGCTGACCATTATGTGCAAGTTTTCACTGTTTCTTTAATTATTGTTGATACCTGTTTCGTTTTCATTCTAGTCTTCACTTTCACGCTACAATTATCAACTCAGAAAGCGAATTTATCAATGATGTTTGAATGCTTTTAGGCCAACCACTGACGGCGAAATGTGTGGATGCAATGAAAGGGGCTCGTAAAATGCTCATGAGCGACTATGAGTTGAACCCTGCCATCGTGAAGCACTGTAGTACAGTCATTACGGACTATTGCGGAGGAATGGAGAAAGGAGGAAAGACCCTGCACTGCCTCATGAAGCTTGGCAAAATGCCCAATGAACACAGCTTCAACATGGAAGAAACAGTTCCCAAATGCTTCCAATCGGTAAGCAAAGCACGTTATTGCACTCAAGGGTGTATTTGGGACATCCATATTTGGCCGACCGAACCTAAAATTTGTCTAAGGATGCTTTTAACGCCAATATAAACTAATAGTCGGAGGCGTCTTTTGTTTTTTCTCAATTTTTGTGATTTTTTGCGTTTTTCTACGCATGCGATTTTCAGGCAAACAGCTTGTTTTATAGAATCAATAACGCATTTGTCTGACATGCACAGTTTCTAGAAAATTCGAATTTCATCATATTGAAAAAACTATCATTTAAGAATCGAACTTGGTTGACAAATCCGTTTCTCAAATCATAGATGGGTTTGTCCAGTAGCCATTACGTTTTATAGCTAAACTCTCACATTCCTTCAAGAACGTCTTGTTTTTTATTCGGGAATGGCATAAATAACTCAACCTTGATGAATTTTTCTGCAAGTATTTTAGTTGTATCCTGGTCGAAAAGGATTCCTTTTGTCATCATTTCGTCGTCACTTTGTATATTTTCTGCGTCTGAATCCCATGTTTTTGCTATTGATAAATTCAAAGATAGAAGTGTGTGGCTCACGATAATTGTGATAGGGAAATCCCACAAATGACACCAGTGCAACAGCAAAGAAGAAAGAGTAATAAACGTAGTGCAGACTGTTATATTTTTATATACGTCTTGGTGATTTTTAAAAAAATTTGGGGAATCCTTGAAGTTTTTCACGCTCAATTTTGATTTTTTTGCGGTTTGACTTTTGATTTTTTAAGTTCAGCTCATTTTCATCGTTAAAAAAGCCAGACTCCGCTATCGAACAGCAAAAGTGTAAAAGTCACGAAAAACATGGTCGACTTCTAGTTTCGAAAGTGGATTTTAATGCTTAGATTTCCCTGCGGAAATAAAAATTGGCTTGATGATCCAGTTTTCTCAAATTGGATTTTAAATCAAAGAAGCGCCACTCATAAGTTGTGCTTGAAAATCAAAGATCTTTCATCTCTTTTTTTTTCTTTAAATTTTGAAAGTTCAAGTTTTTAAAAATAAAAACAAATCTTTTAGTTTCTGTCTCCTTGCGTTCATTACTCTTTTCCAGTTTTTAGTTGGCTATGTTTAGTTTTCAGAAAGGCTTCACTTTGAACACAAATTGGTGGACCATTTTAGCTTATTTGATTTCATTTCAGTTAAAAATGTGTTTTGCTACAAAATTCATGCACTTCGTGTTTCTGTTGCGAAAATGGCATCATTTATCGAAACAACATTGCTTACATGTTTTTCCAGACCAGAGCCATGATTTTGCCAGCTTTCGACGGTGATTCTAAAAATGGAGTTAGAAACTATTTTGCATTAAGTTTGCATTTAAGCAGTACATGACCAAGGTATTTTCACTCCCTGCGTCGGACGACATGAAAATGTTTGATTCACCTTACATTTCAAGACATCTTCGTTTTTATGTAGTCTAAGTACGAGATAAATGCAGTTCTCTGGAGACACTTCATGAAGAACACGTTTTTGTTAGGACGCATGCTTAAAGGACCCGGTTTTGTATAGTAAGATTTAAATCAGTCAGCATGCCATCGCCGGAATAACAGCTTGAACAGTACCCGAGCTAGGTTTATGTGTCTGTTTATGTCTAAACCGGTTGATCCTTCGGATTTTATCTGTCTACCCAGATGAAAAGAATATGAACTGTCTCACACCATAATTTCACATCTTGCTATTAAACTAAGCGAAATTTGTTTATAATATTTAAAATAACTAACTTTGAGAGCAACCATCGAGACTGGTTACCAAATACTTTAAGAACAAATTCAACTTAATGGCTTTTTAACTTAATGGCTTAAAAAAATTCAGAGCTTTTAAAGCTTTGTTTTAGGTGCTTCTAGTGCCAATTTTTAGTGTCTATATATAGGAAGATATTGATGATTTTCATAAAGGTGTTGATTATTTTTTTAGGAAAAATTCTTGAAGTTTGTTCACGCTCCAATTTGATTTTTCGCCGTTTCTCTTTTTATTTGTTTTAATTTCAGTTCTTTTCTTTAGTTGAAAGGAAGGCAAACTCCGCTACCGAACAGCAGAAGTGTAAAAGTCGAAGTAAAATGTGATCGATTTCTAGTTTCCCAACCGGATTTATTTAACAGATTTTCCCGCGGAATAAAACATTTTTCTATTGATCCAGTTTTCTCAAAGTGGGTTTGTTTTTTGTTCAAAAAAGTCATTCATAAATTATTTTTGAAAACGAAGAGCATCAAGGCGGTATTTTTTTCTTCAAAATTTGAATGTTGGCTATTTGTATGTTGGCCTTGTATTAACACAAGCAAAGATTGTGTGATACTACGAACTCACTTTTTTTCCAATCTAAGTAGCAAATATTAGTGCTCTTTTTGAAAGTTCTCTTTTATTGCAGTATATGCATAAGATCAATACCCAGCGATTAAGTACAGCAAATGCTAAGGATATTAACACCCACTATTGTATTACAAATAGCACTTTAGCTTCAAGGTGTTATGGTTCTGTAGCGTAGAGGTAGGGAAGGTGACCAGCAGCAAAATAAGAGGGTTCGAACCTCAGCAGGGTCGAATGTTTCTGATGTACTTTTTCGTATACTAGTTAAAATGCGTCCGCTCTATAAATTGAGGCATGTTAGTTGGGAAATTTCTTTTCAAATTGACTGGTACTGCTAATGCGTCATAATTGGCTTGCGTCACTTAGCAATTATGTAGACTCAAAAGTTTTACTCATTCAGTTTTTCACAGTAGCATTGTCGGTCATATTTTTGATTATGAATGCGAAGTGCAACTTCGACTCTGTCTAACTTTTGTGATGGCCTTCTTCTAATAATTTCCTCAAAATTAACTTCGTTAAAGACAAATCGAGACTAACATAATTTGTTAGATCTGCTTTTTTGACATTTTTTTTCCTTTCAACGTTTTTTGCTACTCATGCAGCTTGCATCTGTTTTCTGTCGGCTAGTTTCCAACTCATAACTTCCTCGAAAAAACTTTGATTCATCCCTGATTGAACTCATGACACTAAAATTTGAATAAATGTTAATGTGTTTTCGTTTTTGGCAGTAAAGTGTGGTTCCTTAGGTAATCAGTTTTTAGGAAGATCAGTTCGTCTGTAATCTCCAACTTTGGAAGAAATCTCTATTCATGATTGGTTTGTTTACAGATTGAGTTCCTGATCAGAAGTGCCAACCCAGCTGAAGAAATTTCGACCGATGCAGTCTTACTAGAAGCGTGCAAACCCGTGTTGGATAAAAACTGCAGAAAGCGAAACGGGTTCGTACTTAAAATGGCTTGAAATTAACTTAGTGGTCAAAGTTTGTACTATCTTGGTACTTTAAAAAAGAAGAATTTAGGCATAGTTGATAGGTTGTTTTAAGTTTTCTTATTTTTACAGTGAGTACGCGAAGGATGCTGTTGGATGTTTGTTTGACTTGATTGACGACGAAGACGTAATGACTGAAGATTGTTCCGAAGTTCTTCTGGAAATTTCCTACTTCACCGCCAGAGACTGGGCGCTTGACCGAAAACTTTTCAGAGCCTGCAGCAAAGACGCGCGTGATAAGTGTAATGTCGATAAATGGGCAACCAAAGACCAAGCCACACATGGTGAAACGTTCGCCTGTCTATATCGACATATTAACAATGAGCGGGCGGATTTGAAGTTGAGCGAAGAGTGTACGGGAGAAGTTATCAGAGTGATGAAGAACAGGGCTGTTCGTGTGGGCTTGAACCCATTCGTTGAGTTCCAATGTCGTGCAGACTTGGCTTCGTATTGCTCGGACCCCGAAACGACCGGCAAGCACCGCGAGATGGAATGTCTTCAGGATATCTATCGGACTGAGTCCTCGAACCGAGGCAATGATGCGGATGAACCAACTTTGAGCAGTGAGTGCAAACGTGCACTAAAGAACTACACCAAGATTGAGACCGAGGAAGTTGAAATCAATCGAAAGTTGTTCCAGTCATGTAAACCAATGATTGAGAAGTACTGCGCAGAAGAGAAAAGAGGAACGACTAACCAGGGAAATCTCTTCAACTGCATGGTTAAGAACAAAAACAAACCTGATGTTCATGAGATTTGTGTTGCGGGAATTGAACACATGCAGCTGATTCAACTGAAAGATTTCGAATTTGACGTCAAGTTTAGAAAGAAATGCAGAGGTGACGTCGATGCTTACTGTCCAAACGCTAAATCCAAGTAAGTCGAATGTCACGGATCAAGTTAACATCCTCGATTCTGATTTGCTGAAAATTCTCAACTTAGAACTAAGTTGACACCCACCCCCAAACGGCTTGGGGGGAGGGGGAGGATGTTAACTTGGTCCAATTTCATTTAACAAACTGACACCGTTTATTGGCAAGGTAAACAAGAGCCGGTTGGTCGACACAAATTTTTCAATTTGTTTTGGGTAAATTGTGTTTCTGCGTTATCATAGAAAGAAGCTTTTTTGAACTGTTAGTATGGCAAACTTAGGGTCGATATAATTTTTTCTTCATGCCAATACTATCTATTTGATTGAGTTCATCTTTTTTTGCGCTTGTAGAGATGAAGTAGTGACTTGTCTGTCGAAGACCATTCGAGATGACAGGATTAGAGGCCAGGCTATGAGAATCAGCGACAACTGTCAGGAAGAATTGAAGCGTCCTTTACAGGAAAAGGTGATGAACTTTATTATCTTGTACTAATGAGATGATCGTGACTTGTTGCACTCTGTGCCACATTGGGTGGTTTGTTTTTAGTACGAAGATGTAAAGATGGACAGGGAAATATACGTGACGTGCAAGGCTGATATCAAAGAGTACTGTGGCGTAAGTTAACAGGTTTTATTGCTGAAAGTAAATGAAAACTCCTTAATTTTTATAACAGAAAGCATGGGTAATGCTATCTAAAGCAGATTTCATGTAAATAAGTCTCAAATTTCATGATATTGCCGGAGGTGTGTAGTTAAACTTGATGTTTTCGATTTAGAGGTGATAGCTTAAATCGGGTAATTATTTGAAATATTGAAAAAAAATCTGAGTTTTTATCTAGGATGTGAAGAGTGGGCAAGGAAGAATGCTGGAGTGTCTGAAAGACCACAAAGAGGATCTCTCGGCTGTTTGCAGGAACAAGATCTTCCAGCGACAGGAAGAGGAAGCAAGTGAACCCGAAAAAGTACAGGAGAAGGACTACGTGTTGAACAGAGCATGCAAGTCCATGATTAACCAGTTCTGCGAGGACGAGCAGAATGTACTCAAATGTCTATGGAAGCACAGGTTGCATGACGGATTTGAGGAAAAATGTCTCAAGATTGTTCACAAGCGAATGGCAACCAAAGGAGAAGGTTTGTTCATATTTCAGCTTTGATATCTTTAGTTTAGCTGTAGGTATTGGATGTGCAAATTTATCGGGCGGTAGCGAATTAATATTGGAACTAAATGTGCGCTCATGAAGCTATTGACTTTTGGACGTCAGTGTGCTATTTATGCTTTGAAATGTTTTCAAGTTTATAAGAGTCGATGAACGTAGTTCACACTTTTATGTAGGTCGCGATGATTTTTTTTTTCATTTAATTCAGTAAAAGGAATTGGTTTTTTTATTGCCTCTATTGAAAAACGTGATTGACTTGTAATTTCAAAATGGAATTTGACTATCAGATTTCCCAGCGAAATAAAAAAAATTGAGCTTTTGATCCAGTTTTTCCAAATTAGGTTAGCTTATCATAAATTGTTCTAGAAATGAAAGAGTTTTTTTGAAATTCGATAGTTGAGGTTATTTTAAAAAAAACAAGTCAATATTTTTTTGATTTTCTTGCATTCATTGACTCTTTCAACTGTCTGTTGGCTCTGTTTTCATGTGCCGCTCAGTGGATTTTTTCTGATTCTTTTTTGGTTTGATGTTTTTTAAACATGCTAGAGCAATTTTCTTGTAATCGAGAACTAGACTTTTCCCCGTTAACAACTTTTCTTACAAATCTTCGTTGCTTGCTTTTCCTACTTGTTTTGCTTGAAGCTTAAGAACTTCTCACTTGGCCCGGTGAGAACGCCGTAACCTCTGCACCCTAAATTTAGGGGTTCGACTTTGTTTTTCCCCGTCGGACCTTGTTTTTCTCAGTACGTACGCAGTTTAGAAAATTAGGGTGAAAATCGGATTGTCGGACTTTTAGTTTGTCCGCTCCAGTTTTGTCGGTTTAGCTTTCCCATAACGTTTTTTTGCTTCAGTTTTCAGTAACTTGCATAGTAGTTTTAGCGGGGAATTAAAACTTTCTAATTTTTTACAAACTTTATTTTCAGCTGAACTGGTGTCTGCTCATTTTGTCGGCTACTTGCCACATCACGGATTTTTCTTGTGCAGTAAGCAAGTTTTATTTTAGTTGCAAGTGTTGTTCATTGTAGTTTCGAGAGGGAATCATTGTTTTCAGGCTCATTTGTCTGTTCAAAGATTGTCGGCTTTGTTTCCTCTTTGTAAGGGTGGTTCCGTTGCTAATTTAATGTTCAAATGTCTGGCTTGTTTGCCTAGAATGAACTTCTATCGAGAAAGTTTTGGTAGACCTATTTTTTTTTAAAGTTTTTATTTTTTCCTAAATTTTTTTATGCGTTATAGGCTTGTGTTGTATGGCAAATGATGCGAAGCTTGCTTTGACTCCGTGTGAATTTCGATAAACCAAATGAAGACACTTTTTTTGTTCCGACGAGTGAAAATTGGGAGGAAATATTCTTTCAGGTGTTTCAGTTTTTTCTTTTCCTCGCAAAATTTGGTACCAAAATTGTGAATAAATTTTCAACTTTTTTTGATTTTTTTCTTTTCGTTTTTCTAATCATTTCTTAATTGAAGAAAACGGTTTTCGAGTATGCTTGTTGAACTATTACCACGAAAATTGTCTTAATTGTACACTTTTGTTCGGATCCCTTCATCAAACCACGCACAATAAGACTTTGATTTGAAAAAATTAAATGGAAAAACGTTTTTTGTATTTTTTAACAATTATCTTCGGCATATTCTGCGCTACTTGCTCAGTATCGGCAATCCTTTTAGGTTTTGCTTTTTTAAGGTGAAGTTCCTGAAATCCAAAGTGTTTATGGCTCATTCAATTTTTCCTTCAAAAATATTTTTAAAATAATTTCAGAAGGCTACCTATGTCTCTGTGTAAATCTAGAACAAACGTATTTCTTTTTTTTTTCAGTTGGCGCATGCACTAGTAATAGTTAAGAGCTTAACCACTGTTTCAGGCTTTCCGCTAAATATTTAAGATTCTGGAAAAGGTCCATTGTTATGTTTTGAAAAATTTACCGAATCTGAAATTAGTACGATTGTAAATGTATGTAATTTGCTTAAATTATTTTCGATTTTTCTTGAAGCTTTTTTCCTAAAAGGTTTTTTTTCGGCTCAGTTTTGCATTTTCTCAGTTTTGCAGTTTTTTAGAGTCTCTTTTTTCACGCTGGAAGTATTTTGTTTTTTAATGCCTGAAATCATCATCGCCATTCGTTTCTTAAATTGCAGATCCATCTGGAAAAAATTTAAATTAGCTAGTTTTAAATTAGCTAGTTCAAACACAGATTTGCTAATATGGTTCGTTCAAAGCTAATTAGTAGTGAACAAGGTATATTGTATGAATGAAAATCCATCAAGTTGAAGACGTGGCACGATTTGCATTCATTTGTCATTTGCAATCATCATTGTCATTCGTTTCTTAAATTGCAGATCCATCTGGAAAAAATTTGTTTTAAATTAGCTAGTTCAAACACGTATTTGCTAATATGGTTCGTTCAAAACTAGTTAGTAGTAAACAAAGTTTATTGTATGAATTAAAATCCATTTAGTTGAAGACGTGGCACGATTTACCACGTCACTTCATAGCAAGCAGTGAAAAGTGCAGTCAGCAATTGAAGTTGACTTTTTACAGTTTTTGACCATTCATGTTCGCTTGAATGCTCGTTAACATGGATATGACGTATGTAGAGTTTTAAAAAGTACCAGGTATCTCGAAGTACTGGATTGGTTGTAAAAGTGAAAGAACTTTAAATTAGAGTCAAGGGTTCCACTGGTAAAGATAAGAAGTGTATATAAAATCCTGGCCTAGCCTAATTTTTATTTCCCTAATTTTATGTACATTGTTGTTGATTGTCGTGTCAAAACTTTGTTGCGCACGATAACTGTGGTCGGAAGATTCTGTGTTAGTGTTCATTATTGCAACGAGAACAACGACTAGAGTGAGAGAGAGAGAAAAAAAAGATAGACAAAGGAACTTTAATTATTATACAGACGAAGCAACAGCTTAATATACAATAGAGACATTAGACATATACAAGGAAACATAAACATTTCTGTTGAAAACAATTTAGATAGGCTGCCTCAAAGTTGTGTACACTTATCTTTTTTTTGCATCTCTGCTACTATAATTCTACTGGTACGTCTTTCAGATGTGCGTCTGAATGCTGATATGTTCCGAGCCTGCCAGATGGACATCAAGACTCAGTGTAAAGAGGTTCTGGAACAAGCCAAGGCGAAAGCACAGAGCGACACCAGCATCCAGGAGTACCAGGGCGTTGTTATTCAATGTCTGAGGGAGAACTACGCGAATGATGTGAGTTAAACGTTATTGATGGCTGAAATGAGTAAAGGACCAATGGATGGATGTAATGGAACCTGTGTGGCATTCAATCAACTTAAAGATTTTGTAATTGTTCAACAAATATTTTCAATTAAGTTGTCCAAGATTTGAGCGTGCAGAACTAGATTTTAACTTAATCGGTTAGGCTAATACCTGCAGTATTTTTAATGTTTATGTAAATTTTGGCGATATTGAACTTCTTGAAGGATAAAAACGAGTTTTTTCGGCAGAAATTGACGGAGAAGTGCAGTGTGGAAGTACAGCAGTTCATCCGAGCCTCAGCCTCCGAGTGGAAGATGGACTTCAGACTGAGGATGATGTGCAGGAGTGTGGTGAAGGAATTCTGCAGCGAGAAGCCCCCGAACAAAGTAGAAGAATGTCTGAAGAATAAGTTCGCCTCTGAACAGATCACAGATGCCATTGATCCACAGGAAAAATGCCGAAATGAGATTAAACGGGTACTGGACGAGGGAGCCATGGATATCCAGGCGGACCCAGTGCTGCAAAAGACTTGCTCTCTTGACATTGAACATGTATGTCCGCAAGTAGCTCATGGAAAAGGAAGACGTAAGTATAAACAATGGTTGATCTCAAAACCATGCAAACATTTTAAGATGAATTGATTTCTGGCGGGTATATATTTTCCTGGTTTAAAGCTGGTTGCAAATTGTTACTAATTAACACGGTCGCAGCTTGTTGTCGCAGTGCGTGGCCGGTTCTTGAGTTATTTGAACAGCATGAACTATATCCGCGAAATTAAAATACATTTCTTTCTGCTTGTATTCATTGTAATTCAACCTGAATCTCGTAGCCTGTCAGTTTTTTAAGGATATTTTTTTCGTGTTTTTAGCTCTGCTGCTTTTTTTGCAAAACAGCATCGCCTCCTAAGTGAGATAGATCTTTAGTTTTGTCCGAATAGCTCAATGGCGAAGTACAGAGTTCGAAATGAAGTGTTACAAAAATGAAATGAACATTTTGAGAAATATTTGTGTAGAATTGACTTGTTTGCTGGAAAAGATGAACAGTGGCGCGCGCATCTCGACTGACTGCAAGAGTCTGCTGCAGTTGCGCGTGCAGATGTGGAAGTTAGCGGGAGACAGGGTGCATCGAGTGGACACTATGGGAGACCTGATGGTGCAGATCAATGAGTCCTCCAACCGACACTACTTCCTCACCATATTCGGAATGCTTATCACTGTCATCTTTTTCGGTGGACTCCTGTTCGGACGAGTGACGAAGCGAGTCGCCCGTGAGATGAAGAGCCGATAGATCTTAAATTACTTAAGATCACATCTTGAACAAAAGCAGAGACTTAAAAGACAAATCACACAACTAAAATGCAGCAGCCAATACACATGCTCACGCCGAAATATTACATGGATTCAATGATATTTTGTTTCCTCACAAGACCCTGCAGCTAAGATATGTTACCAGCCATGATACATATACAAAAGTTACTATGCAAGGTGTTCAAGTCGCAGCATTGAAATCTGAACTTGATCATAAATTAGTGAACAATTCTGCGACATGTAAGTTTTTCCGACTAATCATAGGTGCTGAAAGCTTCGTTTATGAACGGTTATATGTTCTCTTGTAAATAATTGCTATATACCTTCTTTCATAGTAACATTCTCTGGTCATGGTTGTCAGTTTGTATTGATAGAGATGGTTTTTGCTCACAGTTTCTCGGTCAAGCTGACAATTTTGAGTTTGTATGTTAAATATTTTTTTTCTGATATCTAGTTCAAAACTGATAATAATTAACATCCTCCAGAATATAATGGTGTATGATGCCTTGGTTTTGAAACGTGTTTACTATGGTATCTTTCCGTTATCCTTTTTCATATCATCCCTAATTGTTGAAAACACGCTGGGAAGTGCTATGACATATGTAGCATGCTTTTGAACCACTTCTCTTGAAAATGGTATTAAATTGACCTCAGAAAGTTTGAGTGCTTGATTTTGCAACTGCGCGGGGTTTCGATTCGATAGTTAATTTGTCCGCTTTCCATGTAATTCACAATTGGACTAAAATTATATGTCTACTGATTTAAATATTATAAAGGTATTTTACTTATTGTAAATAAATTGAGAATCAATTCGTAAACCATGCAAATTGAAGCATTCCAATGCTTAATTTTTTCTAGGATTGAGATCTAGCGCAAGGTAAAAGTACTATTTAGCTCAAACGTAGAATTTGTCTTTGTGCCATTGAAGGAAGGGCTTATTTTTGTTTTTTGACTTGATTGCTGTTAATTTCAAAGTCGTTTGGCTAAAAGTAAGTCAAATTACGCTCTCCAATTAAGAAAGTGAAAAGAGCGTGATAAACGCGAGTGAGTTCAAAGCTAGTAAAGTTTTTTTAACGATTCGATGAACTAGTGAAGACTTATACAGGTCTTGATGATTCTTTTGTTTGTAGTTCAGAATCTTTTTACAGTCCCTATGATTTCCGCTTTCTTCGGAAAAGTGTGTTCAGGCTCAAATTTAATTTTTCGCGGTTTGACTTTTGATTTTTTTTGAAGTTCAGTTCTTTTCCTGTAAAAGGAAGGCAAACTCCGCTATCGAACAGCAAAAGTGTAAAGGTCACGAAAAACGTGATCAACTTCTAATTTCTATAATGGAATTTAAATGACACTTCCCAGTAAAACAAAAATTTAATCTATTGATCCAGTTTTCTCGAATTGAGTTAAATTCATCAGAAAATTCAAGCATAAATTGTTATAGAAATTCAAAGAGCTTTAAGGTCATCTATTTTTTCTTCGAAATTTGAAAGTTTTTTTTTGTGTTTAAGATTCAATTATTACCGGAAACATTTTTTTCAATTGCATGCATACTGAAAAAAAACCCAGCCGGGATTAAAACCCCAGACCTTAGGTCGTGACTATTTCAAAAGAATGGCTATGTTTTTTGATCAGAAAATATCTTGACACTAATTTTTTTCCTGTTAACAATTTTTCTTAGCAATTGTCAACTAGCTTCCTTGCTGGTCCTTAACTGCTTCCAGGTTTCTTCACTATTTGACTAGGTGTAATGTTGTTGTTTTTGCGCCCTAAGGTCTGGGGCTAATCACGGCAGGGCCTCGTTTTTTTAAGTATGCATGCAATTGAAAAAATTGTTTCCGGTAATAATTGAATTGCTTGGTTTGTCTGCTCAAGTTTCGTCGACTTAGTTGTCACAGGGATTTTGTGTGTGCTTCAAGCAACTTTCATCATAGTTGCAAGTGGAAATGTTGTTCATTGGAATTTCAGGGGAATTTGAAACTTGAATAAAATGAAAAAAAAAATGTTTTCGGATCAACTGATGTCTGCTGAAAGATTGTCGGCTTAATTGCCTCAGCACGGTTTTTCTTTTGGTGTAAGTAAATTTCATTGAAGTTGCAAGTGTAAGTGTTATTCGTTGAAATTTCAGGAGGGGCTTAAAACTTTTATAAAATCATTTTTTTTTCGTCTCAAGTTGTCTGCACAAAGATTTTCGGCTTTGTTTCCTCTTCGTAAGTTTTATTCCGTTGCTAATTTAGTTTTCTAAAGTTTGGCATATTTTCGCAGAATGAACTTCGATCGAAACATGCGAAAGTTTATATTTAGAGTTTGGAATATAGTGCGTGACTTACTGCTATCCCTAAAAACTAAGAACACCCTATTTTGCCAAAAATATGTGCGCCTCAGACTTTCCTTCAAACCGTTCATTTGTGACAAAGGGTAATTCAACTAATTGTCACCTGGTCAAAACGGTTACCGGATTCAAGCTGTCAGTTTTTAAAGTAGAGCGAGTTCTCGCCGTCGATGAATTATCTCCTCGGGTATCGTGCAAACATCGATATGTGGAATATCCGAAAAGTGCAAAACTAGTCCAAACATCCACAAAACAACTTTAATAAACTTTAATTTGGCAACGAACCGGCATTTATTAGAAGCAGGGTAAAGATGCGATTTCTACCGTTTGCTTAGAAGATGCTTTTGTTTTGTTGGATTTTAATTCAAACCTCGGTGAATATATTTAGCAACTTTTTAAGAACTTTTGGAAAGCAGCGAACCAGCGAGTACAAGCGTAGTGCTATACTACCAAACGACTTATTTTCTAACCCTACTCTCATTTAGCGGATCAAATGCGCATAAAAACAGCTTGCTGAATATCATCGGCAATTTGATTGCTCTATTCTATCCGCTTTATTCTTGGCTAGTGTTTGCCTATTTTCAAGTGACCATGGTGCAAATGCGAGGACATGAGAATCAAAATTTCAACGTAAGGCGGTTCGATTTCGGCATCTAAAAACGTTTTATTTCTCAAAGCTTATCTTAACCTTTTTTCCCTATTTCTTTTATCTAACTTTAGGAGCTACTTTCGCTGTTTTATCGCTTGTGTTTTCGAAGTGCAGCTGCGATTCTGTGTTGAAACTTTAGACATATAGTTACGTAATTATTGTGTTAGTCGGTTCTTTGAGCTAGCTGATATTTAGCTATCCGATGTCTGCGCTAGACCTTGTCGCCTCACTTTTGCAACTATCTGCTTGCTATTTTGTAAGAAAATTTCCTGCATGATGTCTAAAGTTTCCTCAAGGACTTCTACGTGTAAGTTGATCATAGTGTTATATGGCGAAATATTTTTTTGGGGGTTTCAACAAATTTCAGCACTAGTTTAACAGTGGTGAGCATTAAAAAACATCAACTTAAACAGAGGCGGATCTAGAATTTTCTCGAAGGGGGCGGATTTTCCATTACGAGGCCAAAATGTGCTTTTTGTGCATTGTAAGCGGATTCCGCAACAAGGACGCTCACTTTATTCTTCTTTTGTTCTTTACTTTCCTTTGACCGTTCCGACCAAATTTTAACATGTTTAAAGACTTGTCTCTGGAATTCAGGAACATACAGACACAAAATTGTGCGCTTATCCAGTGCACAGTTTGGCCTCGCAATGTCAAAAAAAAATTTTTGTCGACATTTTTTTTTGGTCGTCTAAATTGATTTTTCGAGCTCTTCCAGAGCACTGTTTTATTACTATTTTGGCCAAATTTTCTGCGCCGGAGGAAAAGTTTTGAAAAAACAGGCCAAAAAAGGCTCCCTCCTCAAAACTAGTATATATTGGCGCCTTGGAAAAAATTTTAGGGTTCAGCACCAAAAATGGATATCGCAAAATAGTACAAGAGGCCTGCACCCCCCCCCCCCTAAATCCGCCCCTGAATTTAAATGTTTTTGTTTGATGTCAATTCGAGTTAATTTAATTTGATGTCTTTTTAATGCTTCAGATGGCTTTAAATATTTTTTTGGATGTCATTTCGAGTTATCTGAAAAGTTAATGAAGCATTTGGAGTATGTCGGTAAGTTTGATCAAGATTTGCAAATATGCGATCCCAAATAACTTGGACCTATAGACCCAGTCCTCTTATTAGAAAGAAAGAAAAAGAATTTATTTTTCCGATTGATAAATATAGTCATTAGCAAAACAAAAGTAATTTCATCAATGCATTTATCATCGGAATGGACAACTAACGAGACCATTGGTCCACATAAATGTTGCCCTTATATAGCACACATACTGAATTTAACATCAAACAAAAGAAAGAAAATAAGTTTTTTTTTTTTTTTTTTTTAATGAAGAAATTAACAAAAAAACAAAAAAATACGTGATTTTGATTTTTACCTAATTGAAAACATATTGTTCTTCATAGCGCTACCTATAGCAGTTCAGCTGATGCTCCGGCATGGGAACACGTCGCTTCAAAAAAAAAATGAAGAAAATTTTCTAAGTTTTCGGGAAAATAATTATTGAGAAAAAATTCAAAAAATCATAAAAAGGGCCATATCTCCTAAACTAAAAGGTTCTGGAGGGTCATATTTTTTCACATAAATCGCAACTTATAGTTGATTGTCCTGTAGCATTTAACCAAGGTACTGAAATTACACAAAAATTAAAAACTGAAAACTAAAGTTGCCAGCTCGTTGTTACCTAGCAGGTATCCATTCTTAAATTTATGATAAAAACTTGTAATTTTTGCATTTTCTATCCCATCTTCGAGTAAGCCTCTAGTTTTCAATACGTTGTAAAGCCTAGACCCCCGATAGGCAATTGATTGCCGTTCAAATCGTTTTTTTCTAAATGATTCTTTAAGGAGGTTTAAATTAGCCCTACGCGTTACTTTAGTGGGATTTTCGAATTCAAACACATTATTCAAAAAATCCTCACTGTGTAGTTTGTTTACTGATCGGAGTACAAATTTTAGTAATTCATACACATGAAGCTCGTGCACGGTTAGCAGTTGATTTCTAATAAAAATGTCATCCGATTGTTCGCGACGATTTCGGAAGTAAATCAATTTTAAGATCTTTCTTTGAAGTATGTAAATCGGCATTAAAGAAGAGTAGCTGCAACAACCGTAAACAAGAATACCGTATTGGATAGTTGATTGAATGTTAGTTCGATAGTAGTCTAAAAGCTGATGACGTGGAGCAAAATACCGTAATTTTGAAATAATGCCTGACTGTTTCGCTAATCGCATTCTTACATAATCAATTTGCGAAAAGAAGGACAATTTTGAGTCTACATATATCCCTAGGTATTTACAACCAGGTTCAGTTTTAATAGCACAGCTGTTTAATTGAAAGGTCATTGAATTGGAAGTCTTAATATTCATTTGTACTGTTTTATCCATATTAATAACTAATTTATTGGCATTTAACCAGTAGTTCAAGTAAGAGATGTCATTTTCAATTGCAACATTTACTTGTTCTAAAGCAGTGACATTGGTGTCGTCTGCAAAGAGGACAACTTCAGATGATTTGCAAACATGAGGAAGGTCATTTATATATATATATATAAGAAAGAGTAAGGAACCCAAAATTGATCCTTGAGGAACACCGCATTTTATAGAAGACCAGTTTGAAGAAACGCCATTTATTTCTACACGTTGTTTTCTGTTCTTTTAATACGATTCAAACCAATCATAAGTAATTCCTCTGATTCCATAGGACTCTAACTTCTGTAATAAAAGAGAATGTTCAATTGTATCAAATGCTTTTTTCAAATCAAAAAAGAAAGTAACAACATTTTGATTACCACATGACCGCATTTTTTCAGTAAAATCAACGAGTGCGTCTATTGTACTATGATTTGACCGAAACCCAAATTGTCTACTATAAATAAGTGAGAATTTTTCAAGATAATTGTAAATACGAGTGTACATGGCTCTTTCAAATATTTTACTCCAGACAATTAATAGCGATATTGGTCGGTAATTATTCTCATCAACTCTAGAACCACTTTTATGCATGGGTATGACTTTTGCTCTTTTTAATTTATCAGGAAAAATGCCTTGGCTGAAGGATTTATTTATTAACAGGGTTAAATACGGAACGGTAGCAGATACCGACAATTTAACTAAAATGTTATTAATATTGTCATCACCCGACGACGATTTATTATCAAGTTTGTTAATTATTTGTTCTACTTCAAGTTCAGTAACCTGATAAAGAAACATTGAGTGTCCCACTTGTTTAAGAGGTGGTAATGGTAGACAGTCCATGTCTTTTTTAAGTTGAGTGCCAATTTCGGAGAAAAAAACATTAAATCGTTCAGCAACATCAAAAGTTGATGGAGTTACAGAGTGCTGCTGACATGACTCTAGTATTGGTACGTTTGCATCATATATATTTTTACCACTTAAATCATTGAGTAATTTATATGTTTGTCTTGAGTCCCCAATACATGCAGAGAATTTGTTACGGTAAAACTTCCGTTTTGCCCCTTTAATTTCTTTTTCTAGCTTAAATCTTAAGTTCTTAAAATTTTCCAATAAATTGGAATTATTTGGTTGACATTTCCATGAACGATGTGCTCTGTTTCTTTTGGTTCTTAAATTTTTCAACTTGTTGTTGAACCATTTCGGTTTTTTTAAATCAGTAATTGTGTTTTCCCGCATGGGTGCAAAATTTGTGGTAACTTAATTAAAAACCGCAGAAAAAATGTTAAATGCTGCTGATGGATCTGCAATATTGCAGATTTCTAACTCTTTTTCATTCAGTTCAATTTGCAATGAGTTTATGTACTTATTGGATTTATCTTTATCTTTGACAAAATTAAGGTCACGAAAAGTCTCAGTTTTTTCATTTTTTAAACTAGGTGGAGTCCATTGCAAGAGGACAGGAAAATGATCAGAGAAATTTTGGTATTCTAAAGTGTGTTGATAGGCTTCATTCAGGTTTTGATAAATGAAATGATCTAGACAAGTGTTTGATGTTTGAGTAACTCTTGTTGCTTTTGTATCACCTAGTTCGAATCCATTTGCAAAAATACAGTTCATGTAATTGTTCGATAGTTGATTAATCTTTGATATGTCAATGTTAATGTCGCCACAGATTATAAAAGGAGTTGATGGCGAATAGTTTTCTTCTAAAAAATTCTCGAATGTATATATGAACCGTAGTTTGTTAATTCTAGGTGGGTTGTAGATTACTGCTACTTTGAATTGGTAGTTATCTTTTTCAATAACCACTAGAATGCATTCCTCGAGGGTTGTGCTGATTTGTTTTATAAGCTTGAAATCTTTGCGTATTTGTATCATTAATCCGCCTCCGCGAGTTTTACGGTTGCATGTTGCAAACTTATTGTAACCATCAATGAGATAGCATTTATTATCATCATTTTCTGTTAGCCACGTTTCTGATAGGCATAGAATGGGGGGAGGAGACTCAAGACTATATACTAGTGCTTCCAATTCGTTAAGATGACCTTTCAAAGAGCGAACATTTATATGTAGCACAGAAAATTTAGGTTCCGGAGGGGGCCTCCGGTTGGTTGAAAACACCAGTGAAGCAGTTTATAACATCATTATAATAGTAACCAAGTGTGTCACCACCCTCATAGAGCCCAGTAATTTTATTTGTATAGTTGTCATTTCTGTACTGGAAGAATATATTGCCCTCTCTGGACCAAGCGGAAGCGATGCGCTCATCTGTTTTCATCAATTTTAGAAAGTTGAGTCTCGCCTTGGTAAGATCTTCGAATATTTTCACCTCTTTCATGCCCTCAGTCTCATTTAGCTGGCGTTTCTTCTTTAATATATCTATTTTAGCTGTTCTGCGACAAAAACGAACAATTATTGGCTTTGTGGTGCCCCGACCCGGCAGGCGATGAGCAACAGATATGTCTTGCTTGTTGACGCTTGAACCGATTTCATTTGCAATTTTTATCACTTTGTTTGCTGTCTCTTCATTGGATTCTTGCGTTCCGGTATCGCTCGCTACACCGATAATCCGGATATTTTCTCTTCGAGTGTAGCTTTCCACCATCTCAGCTTCTGACAGACTTTTGAGGTAGCAGCGTGCTTCTTGCGCAGATAATTGAGCTTTAACTTCGGAGAGAATTTGTTTCTTCATGTCTTCCGTAGCATCCGTGACCATAGTCTTCATCAGCTCTTTCATCTCATTTTTCAGGTTTCCAAACATTATTGGGATAATTTCGTTGATTGATGTTTTGATGGTAGTTTGGATTAATTGCACTAGGTTGTTATCAGCAGTTGTCTCCTGTTCTATGGGGCTCAGCACCGCACATCCCCGTTTACTGCATGACTTTGGGATGGGCGTCATACTTTGGTACCTTAGTGCGGGAATATCTTCGGTATTGGTTTCAGCTTCAGTATGCATTTGCAATATGTTGTTTGAATCAGCATCAGCATTAGGGATATTGTCAGGTTGGGTATCAGTCATGATCATTTACTGCGTTTATTTAATAAGTTTATCACAACAATTAGGCTAAGTTTAATAAAATAAGTTTATCACAACAATTAGTTTTGTTTAATAAAATAAGTGCTAATCGCAAAAAACTATTGGTGCCCAAAGAGATTGAATGTGATGTATTTTTTGTGCGACATTGAAAAATTTCCTTACAAAATTCCCAAGCTTTTTCGATTTTCTTGAATTTATTCTCTTTATATTTTGTTGGGTATGCTAACAATTCTTAGTTGAATTTTAAAGTTGTTTTTCGATAGTTTTCGGTATTTGGATAGTTTCATAAAAGGTCATTCACAAGTTTTAATTGAAATTTAAAAAGCTGTAAGGTGATATTGTTTTTCTACGAAGTTCAAGAGCTGGAAAAATCAATTATCAATATGTTAATTCCACGTTTTTAAAACGCAATCCGCTCAATTTACTCTTCTGTAAATTACGTGAGCTCAAATTTTGACTGAAATAAATAAAGCCTCTAAAATTCAAACTTATCGCTATTATTCAAATTGGTAAATAAGGTATACTTTAAATGAGATGAAATAATCTACCCAAATTATCTCAATAGCCCATCCGGCATCAAAAAACCTATTTTTCTGACTACGAAGAACCAGGTATATCAATTAGCATCAGATTTGTTCAAGCGTCATATCATTAGTCGCAATCAATTTTCAGAAAAAACTATATGAATTTTGTTGTTTGACACTGACCACGAATGTATAATCGTGAATTCAGGAGCTACAAATGAACGCTAGTTCGTGTGCAGAGTTATCTATTTATCTTTTGCATGCGATAAGCAAGGGTATTGCAACCGGTTACAAGACTTTGTTTCCCGTGAATAGCTTTGTTCACAAGATCTCCAGGACAAACCTACACAAACGTTCAAAAAATATATGAAAGCATTCGACAAGTTTTTAATGATGAAAATTTTTTAACAGTCCGCGAGCTGCATGTGTATGAACTCCTCAAATTTGTCTTGCGATCAATAGCAACCTTACATTCTGAAAGTTTTTCAAGTGAGCTTTTTGTATTTGATAAACCGTCGAATATGACCAGAAGGTCAACTTTTAGTTTAATGAAAATTCCTAATTTCAAAAGCTTTATTTAGTTACAGATGAGCTAAGCTCTTTAATATACTTAGACAAAATTCCTTAATACCAAAAATTTTCGATCAAGTTTCTAATTTAGATATTCAAAGCATTGCCCACGAAATTCGTGATTTGCCTATATAAAGCAATGAAGAGCTGATCAAATTTTTTTTGTTGACATATTTTTTGGATGCAAGGCTAATGCCGGAGAATGACAGATGTGAAGTGTCTGCATGTTTCAATTTTATTTTAAAATATAATTGTGTATGGTTTTCAAAGCGTCTTCGGCGTTTTGAAAACCACACTTGGGCTTGTTCGCATGGACTCAGTTAGTTGTCTACTGACCGTTAAGCCACCAATCAGTTCTACTGATGATAGAGAGGCTTCAAGGATGGGATACAGTTAGTAGAAGCAGTAAACGTAAAGTGAGCAAGTTTTGTTTTTGAAACCCAATAGGTGTGCCTACGACTGGCGAGTTTCAGAAATTATGAGTGATGAAACTGAACACTTTTCTTATTTAATTTGGTTTTATACCGACAACAGTTGAGCAAACATTTTAAATCTTGATGCAGAGCTTGGACCTTATGTCATTAACTTGTCTAGACAATTCCGAAAAAGCTGCTGCTCTATGTTTTTTCTTTTAATGTTTTCAGATATATAATTTTCCTTCTCTTTGAAGATCTCAAAGTCGCATTTCATTTGATATAACGGGCAGTTCTTGTTAACCCATTTGGGTTCGTTAACTGTCCCCTCACTGTTTGTGGTGCTTCATGTTTAAATTCTTGATATATGCATATTTACCATTAACAATGAGAAATAAATTCTTGCTGGGTATGCTAACAATTCTAAGTTGAATTTTAAAGTTGTTTTTCGATAGTTTTCGGTATTTGGATAGTTTCATAAAAGGTCATTCACAAGTTTTAATTGAAATTTAAAAAGCTGTAAGGTGATATTGCTTTTCTACGAAGTTCAAGAGCTGGAAAAATCAATTATCAATATGGTAATTCCACGTTTTTAAAACGCAATCCGCTCAATTTACTCTTCTGTAAATTACGTGAGCTCAAATTTTGACTGAAATAAATAAAGCCTCTAAAATTCAAACTTATCGCTATTATTCAAATTGGTAAATAAGGTTTACTTTAAATGAGATGAAATAATCTACCCAAATTATCTCAATAGCCCATCCGGCATCAAAAAACCTATTTTTCTGACTACGAAGAACCAGGTATATCAATTAGCATCAGATTTGTTCAAGAGTCATATCATTAGTCGCAATCAATTTTCAGAAAAAACTATATGAATTTTGTTGTTTGACACTGACCAAGAATATTTTTACATCAATATTTGTTTAATTGCGTTTTTTCCGAATGAAGTTTTGTTCGATTTTATCTTTCTTTGACTTGTTTTTGTCTAACTGGAGTTTTTTTAGGACATAAAATCCGCTTTTGTTCCCGGCTTTAGAGTTTTTCAAAATCATTTGTTTGTTTTCTGCCGTGTCTCTTTTTTGCCTTTACTTCTTTATTTTGGACTGACAGCGTTATTTCACGAAAGGCGGGTGACGTTCAGATTCCAAATTACGATTGTTTCTGGTTAAGGTTTCATCTCGATATTCAATAAAAAAATTATCTAGCTGGTTTGATTTCAAAGCTTTTTGATCGCTTATATATTTCCTGTTTTGAAATTTCATATGCGATTTTTTTTCATGCTGATCTTATTAACATAATCCTTTAGAAAAAGGATCGATTGATAAAGCTTTTTGATACCTCTTACTAAATGCTCCTATGTAGTTCTTTGGTTCCAAGAATTTTCTCAAGTGTCTTGAGAAAATTTGGAATCTTGGGATACAGTTTTTTCTGGAGAATTTTTCTTTTCTTGTCTTATTATGATAAAGCTGCACTCCATCTGAAAAATATATATTGTGTGTCAACCAACCAACCAGGGTGAAGAGCAAGTAGGAAGAACTTAGAGCTGAGAGTGGGGACGGCAAAAAAAGAGAACAGCTGAACAAAAAACTAGCAAAGAAGAGAACATCGGCAAATGATCTCATCTACTACCGAATGGATAAACTTCCTCATTTTAGAGAATGGATTAACTACCATTGACACCCAATTGTTTCGTTAAATGATGAAGTCAGATTAAGCACCATTTCTTCTCATCTCACAGATGAGTAGTTTTGAGCCATGAGCACAGTGATATCTACCAGGAAGCCGTTGGACTGGATACGGAACGCATCATATCATCATCCACTAATAACAACATCGAGCGTATCAGTGCCAATATGACATTTTTTCCATCGCCTTATAGGGAGAAAGTATCAATGTAGTGGTATTATAGCCTGAATTTTGCCTGGGAATTCCAAAATAGTTTATCTACGAATTATTACCCTCGCAATTAGCAGTAGTTTTTGAAACCGGGTACTAAATTTTTCCCCGTAAACACCTTTGTTCACTAGATTTCGCACTTGAAAATGTTACACGTGTTTTAACTTGCTTCATTATCCTTGCGATAAGCAAGGGTATTGCAATCGGGTACCGAACTTTTGTTCACAGAAGGGACGAAATGGTAATCATTTCAATAACCCCATGGTTTGCGCAGTGTTTAGTAGTTAGATATTAGGTATGGACATTAGGTTCATCTTTTTTCTGCGAGGGTTCCTGTGAGTTTTTTTGAGTTTTTTTCTGTGCCGAAATTTTTCGGTAGAATTTCAGTGCTGGAAGAGGTCAATTTTACTTTTGTCGGCTTAATTTCCGTTTTTTTTTCGATCAAATTTGTTTGGTATTATATGTCTGTTTGGTTGCATTCTGTTTGGTGCAGATAAGCTTGCTCATTCGTTTTTGCACCTTTTTTCTTTTATTATTTGAGTTTTTCGACATTCGATTTTTTAAATTTGTTTTCCGCAATGGATTAGAACACATAGTTTAATTGTAGCCATTTCATTTGGAAAACGAAGACCAAAAAAGCCTGAAATTCTATCAAATGAGAATTAAATCAACTCACAATTAAATGAACTCAAAATTTTCGATAATTTAGTTGAAAATTGCTAGACACATTTTTTTTGTGTCATTTTTAACTGCTGTCTGCTACGTTTCCTAACTGATTTGCTGTATTCGTTTAGTTGAGCGTAGTTTCAATGTGTTAAATTAGAAATAACTTTCTAGTTTTTTAGTTTTGTTGTTGTCAATTTTTAAAAATTACGTTTAATTTATATTTACTTCACTTCCAGATAATATTGATACGTTTCTGTACTCATTCTTTTTCAAAATAGTCCAATGAAATGCATTTCTCATATTTTTTAAACTCAATATTAGTTGAATTGCGATTTTCCAATTGAGGTTTTGGTATTTTTTCTCTTTGTTAAACTTATTTTTGTCTAACAGTAGTTTGCTTAAAGTAATAAATTCGTCGTTGTCGGTTTCAGAACTTTCAAACTCATTTGTTTGTTCTTAGTAGTGTCTCTTTCTTGTTTTACTTCTTGTTTTGATTCGAGTTTTTTTGAGCAATTTTTTCTTTGAGCAAGAAGATTAAATATTAAGATTTTGTTTTTAATTGTTTGTTGTTTTCAGAAAATTTTCAAGCTTAGTTAAGATGAGGTTTGTTTATATATAGATATAAATATAAAAGATCTCACTTCTTCTGATTCTTGCAAAATTAAATTTTTCGGTCATTATATTCTTTCTGATCTGAAAAAAAATCAGCTGTTGTTTTTTCATCAGTTTTCAGTTTTCAAATAGTTTCATTGCAAGTCTTCTGCGTAGAAGTCAGAATTAAATGTGTGGCTAGAGTCAAACTGATATTGTTGCTTGTTTAATTTTCAAAAATGTTTTGCAACGTTTTTCCAATCTGATTTTTTAAAAACTTTTTTTCCGGACATACATTTTTTTCATCAGCCATCCAGTACATTTGGCGTAGAGATAACACTCTTTTCAATCATAAATTTTTTTTCAACATACATTTTTTTTCAATCAGCCATCCAGTACATTTGGCGTAGAGATAACACTCTTGCTTGAGACGACAAAGGATTTCGGTTCGAAAACGGCTCGGATATTCTGTTTATTTTTATCCTAGTTCTCTTAGCTCAACTCTTTTTGAAAGCTCAGCTGTCTTCTAAATTTTTGAAATCTATTTCTAAAGCCCCGTTGGTGGAGATAATTTTTTTCATTTGCGGGAGCAAGTGACTTGTAATTGGGAATGAGAATTTTTTTCCTGTAAACAATTATTCTTACACATTTCGGCTTCAATTCTGCTGACAAGCTCAAGTTCTTCAGAGAACGAAAAAAAAACTTTTTCTTTCTTCATTTGAGGAAATATTTAATTTTTTCTATTATTTGTTATGAAAAAATGTGATTTTTTTAATCGTATTTTATCATATCGTTCTGTCGGTTGATTCTGTTTTTTTAATGTCGGTTGATTCTGTCGTTCTGTCGATTGATTCTTTCCAAAGTTTGGTTTTTAAACGTTTTATTTGAACAGTTCCTGTTTGATAAAAACAGTGTAATAAAAATGGATGGAATAAGCTTTTTTTTCTACGTTTTTGAGACAATGTGGAAAATTATTTAATTTTTTTCTCAACTGTTTATGTTTTTCTCGGAAACTGCCGTACCGAATTTTGAAGAAGTAGTTCCAATAGAAAGACCGCCCACTCTCCTGTCTGAATTATCCCCTTTTATCTTTCTACCTTACACGACTTTCTACGGCCTTCGAAAAATTGTGTGGGCCGTTTTCCTGGCCCAATTTTTTGGAACCTCCCGTACATCAGCGGCTACGCACAAATTTTTGAAACCAAATTGACCGTTTTCATGATTTTTTGACCGTTTTTTGAATTTCTTTTACTTTCTCGAAAATTACTATTACAAATCGAAGGATTTGGATGGTAGAAGAAGTTAATTTGTTTCGAATAATTTCGGTTGGGTAAGTTTTATATTCTCAAAACTAAAACTGAGGGGAGGCTTGTTAGATAGGGCATCAGAAAAAAAATCATTAACTGTTTTGGTCCCAATATATCAATTTTTTCTAAATAGTTATAAATCCGGCATACGACTTTTTTCAGGTTAACAACTTATTTAACAAAATCAGTTTCTAGGTTTGATTGGTTGGCTTATAATGAATTCAAATTTCTGAGCCTCTCCGACACACCTGTTGTAGAGGTAACGACTGCCCCTGGGACGGCAAAGGTCCAAGGGTAGAATCTGGCCAGAATCTGTTTTTTAACGGAAAATATTTCGCTTCAAAAAAGTTGTCGCATATTGTTTTTCAAAGCTTCCATTTTTTGCTAGTCTTAAAGATGCTCGGAATAGAAGGTAGTTTTATGGTTGACGTAAAGGCTGACAATGCTTTCTAGTTATCATTCCTACAAAATGCAAAAACTTGAAAGCTTCGACGGTCTTTTTATACAATAGCTGAAAATTTCAATATTTTAGGTCAACCGGAAAACTAACTTCCATTCTAGAAAAGAACGGTCCATTCAATGACTGTATACATAAAATTGCCAATGAACCGCCGTGATGTTAACCGAAATAAATGAATATGGCATATGTAACTGATTTTTGAAGTGTCAATGATTGTAATAAAGTTACTTAAAAAGGTCGTGTTGATTTTTTTTCAAGAAAAGTATTAAAATTTTTCTTTGCTCACTGATTATCTTTTTTTTTCGGTTTCTTTGATTTCGTTGACATTTTTCCTGCTTTCCATCGGCTGTTTTTAAGGAAGTTTAATTTGCGAATATTTGCATTGCAGTGTTATGTAATACAGCAAGTAAATTAGTTCGCTTTTTATTTGCGTCTTTAGTTAGCAATGGACGGTTCCTCGAGTGAAAAGGCGACAGAAAAAGATGATTCACTCATTCCGAAGAAGAAGCATTCTCTAGACAGTGATGAAGAGGACGATGAAGCGAAGCACAAGAAAACCAATGTGAAAAAGCTCACCACTGAAGACATCGAAGGCGAAGAAGACGAGACTATAGCACACGAAGGAGAAATCAAAATCACACCGTTTAATCTGAAAGAAGAGATGGCTGCTGGATATTTCGACTCGGGAGGGTTCTTCGTGGCCAACGGGAAAGACGAGGACGGCGATGAGGATATACACGACTCCTGGCTGGACAACATTGATAATTCTCAGGTGATTGTTTCTTGGTTATGAAGTTGACACTAACCGAAGCTAACTTTGACGAGACAAACCGAAAATTATCAATAAAAACAGAGCAATAAATGGATATGATATTTAAGTTGGTTTATAAATCAAAGAGTTTAATAAAATTGGTTCAAGAAATTCAGGACAGTTTTTAAAAAGTTCTGTGAAAATTCATTATTATTTTAGGTAGATGAGAAAGTCAGTGCAGCTCATTGGGCCAAAATGGAGGCATTAAACGCAGATAACTCAGACAGTGAGGACGATTTTGATTTAGTCGCCTTCCGAAAAATCATCCTTGGATATCTCAGTCAGAAGGAATCTGTCACCAAGGCCATCAAGAGGTTAACAGAAAATGTCAAGAAAGCTAAAAAGTCTGGCGACAAAGAACTGCTGGAGGACGAGCAACATGCATGTAACAAGCTGATGGAATACGTGAACCAGTTTGTAGACCAGGGTCATTACGATATCTACCAAGAAACTTATGAGTCCTTAACGGCAAAAGTGAATCCAATATTATCCCACGCATCGGATGAGCGAAAAAGAAATCTCGACGAAGAAGAAAAACCTCCTTTGCCTCAGGCGAAACAAGTTAAGTTTGACTCAAGTGTTAAAAGGAAGAAGTTTGAAGACTTCGAAGATATGTTCACGTGATTCATAGTTTGATTTGTTTTTCTATACCTGATCGTGTGGAGCTGAGAGATCTAGAAGAAAATTGCGTTGCTTTGAATTTCAACTGAACTTAAAACTTATGAAGTTATTTTAGTGAAAATTTAATGACTTCAATTAAATTTCTAGTGATTGAGTTTAATATTGTGGCAGTGTGGTTTTTGATAATACTAGGTAGACTTATGAGGAGATTTCTATATGGTGATCAATCAGTATTGCTCAAATGGTCTAATTTTTGATTTTTAGTCTCACTGAGCCAGTGAATGCGATATCTTAATTATTTTAATTAACTTTTTCAATTCTTTTTATACAAGCAAATGCTTGTTTACATGTGTTATTACTACGATTTCAGTTTTTGCTAACCGAAAATTTGCCCAATTTTTGTGTTCACTTTATTTGCGTCTATGTATATGAGCCAGCGCTAAAGTACAATCGCCGCTAAGGATATTAATACACTACTATATTTGCTGCAAATTTCGAGGAAACTAAGACGATATTTGTACTCGCTCTGTTTTTTTTAATCTCAAGCTAATTTGACTAGCAGAAGTTTTTCTCTGTTCATCTGAAAACTAGCCAGGACCTCAGGGATTTCACCCTCTCACCCACCAAAAAGTTCCCCTTTGGTATTATTTTATGACAATCATTTAAGGCCGACCAGCCCTAAATTTTATCTAAAGGCGCCTTTGGCGCCAATATATACTAATTATAAAGGAGAGTGCGCGCCGAAAAAACGCAATTTTATGGTCAACATTTTCCAAAAAATGCCCAAAAAAAAACGACTTTTTTAATCTGTATTTTTTAGGCCGTTGAAATGTTGCTAGACTGGGCAAAAGGGTGGAAGTCGTCAACGTAATACTGCAGTTTTACATCGGGGCCATATTGGAGCATCATGGACGTAAAGTTAAAAAGTATTGGGGATAAGACTGAGCCTTGATGGACGCCTGTAAGAACAATCTTAGATTTTGACAGGGTGTACCTGAACATATTTCTGATTGAAGCCCACTCCGTTAGATTGACAACCACTAAATTAGGTTTTCCAATACGCTGATGCCATAAAGATCCAGGAATGTGATATGGCTGACCATTTCAAACGCTTTTGAGAAATAAAGTGTGACCAGGACTGTTCTATTTAGAGGCTTTAATTGATGAAACCTCCGCTGATAAAGATTCAACAGTGGAAAGTGCTGTGGTTGTGGAACACAGTGGGCAAAAGCCATGTTGATGATCTGCTTTGGTTAGAAGTTTGATTAGGGTCGGATGGATCAAAGATTCTAAATTTTTGAATTCTTGGCTTAAACTCGACAATGGATGGTATGAATTTGGATATTTGAGATCTTTGTTTGGTTTCGGAAGGGGTACCACTTAGTTTTTTTTCAAATTTGGGGAATTTTTTCAAAGAAAGAAAGTCAAAATGTTTGTTAAAAATGCTATTGCTATTTGTCCGATATGTTTAAGTTGGACTGTGCATAGGCCATCCGGTCCTAATGCTTTTGAGGGCTTTACCGCTTTGATATTTTTCTCAGTTTTTGGAGGAATAAAATTAGTGAGCCTTCGAAGCTAGATTTAAGGAATTTTTCTTTGTTGCTCTATGAGCTTTATCACTAGTGTTAGTTTTCAATTTAGTATTTTGCACATTAAAATCATTTGCATTTTCAAACGGCCGAGAAAGTTTTACCTTGTTTAGTTTAATTGTGTGGGTTCCTACCTCAGACTTGCTGCCATTTGATGACCGGACCATTTTTCAGAACTTTCTGGACGATGTATGGTGATTCAAAATCTGGAGAAATTATCACCCTTGTTATCTTGGTCTTGACAAGTTTTAGCCATAATCTTTTTGCTTAAAACATTTAAAAAGGGATCGGATGGGTTAAAAAGTCTGATTTGATCGCTTTGTTGATTAAGTTTCTTTGTTTATTCCTTGAGGGCTGGAATGAAGAACCGATGTCGGCCAGCAGGAATATAGTGACGTGCGGCGTCACGAAAGGTCCGTCTTGCGGCGTTCACATCGTGCTGCAATGGTCCCTTTGCTAAATCATCTATTACATTGATCAAACTATTTGAATGCGCTTTTTTAGATTTGATAAAAGTTTTGCGGGGAGCGAACGGTGTATCTTCTGCAATTGAAATTGAAAGAGTAAGTAAAATTGGGAGATGGTTTGAGCCTAGCTGTAAAAGTGTTTGCCATGAGAGATTTAATATAATAAATCCCAATTTTTGTCGGTTCACTTGCTGGGTGTTTTATTTCAGCGCCCTTTTCGGTAGTCTTTCTGTATACTTTTTCTTTATTTCCAAGAGCGTAAATATAGTTCATGGTGTCCTGGTTTTTATACTCGCCACACTTTTCCGTGAGAAAAAAATTTTTTCATAGAAAACTCTTCTGTTAAAAAAGAAATGAAATTTTTTCAAAACTGAGAGTAAAGAAATTTCCTAGTATAAACTTTCTTGTATTAGAGGTTTTTTAGTTTTTCTGACGCATGGTTCTTTTTTTATTTTTATGATTGTATTTAGCGTGGAATTAGTTTTAGTTAGTTTGGTATGTTTTGGGTCTGAGGAGTTACAGTTGAAATCAATTAAAGGTGATGGCACATTATATTTTTTTTCTGTCAAAAATTGTTCGAAACATAATTTTCCTTGAAAAATTGTGTTCAAAAATTTTGGTTTTTTTCTTTTTATATTAATGATAAACTTGGTATAATTGATTATTTTCATAGGCTTTCAGATTTTGCATGTCCTTTTTGAAAGTTTTTGGAAACTACATTTCGTTTTTTATATCTGAAATTATTTTTCAAATTTATTCATTCATGTTGATTACCCTTGCGATCGGGTACTAGACTTTTTCCACGTAAAGAACTTTTTTCACAGGATGATCTCCTAATTCAAGTTCTCTTTTTTCAAGTTCTCCTTTTTAGCATGTTTTACACTTCGATTTTTTGTGCCTACAGTTATTGCGTTACTGGTCCTACTGGTTAAAAAAACTAGGATTTAAAATTGTTTTTAGGCTTAATTGATTTCGGCCCATTTTTTGTCGGTTTATTTACCGAGTGTTTTTTTTAGAAAATTCTATTCAATTGATTTTAAAATTCAATTCGAAGAAAGTAACAGGATGAAAAGCTTTTTCATACCCGTTTTTTTCAAACCCTTTTTTAAACTCGCTAAATATTTCACTTTGAAAAGAAAAAACTAAGCGATTTTTTGTTTGAGTTTTTAAAATTTATTTCAATTTTTCTTTCGAAAGCATGGTTTCTGATTATAATTTCTAATTCAGTCAATCATCCGGCGTATGTGGCGAAGAGGTAACACACTGCTTGAGACGGCAAAGACTTGTGGTTCGAATCCGACCGAGACCTGTTTTCTGCAAATTTGATTTTTTTTATACTATCGTGCGTCTGCCTCTTTTTGTTGGCTTGATTCCCGGAGCCCGATATTTTTGAGGATTTTAGGTTTCTTTGAGTTGCAATAACGCTGATGCTTGAGATGACATAACTCAGGAGTTAGATTCCAGGTGGGACCTCTTTCTAAGCAAATTGAAAATGTTCGGCTATTTCAAATTTTTGTGTCCGCTTATTTTTGCTGACTTTGTTCCCACAGAAGAGGGTTTTTTGGAAGTTCGGCTTCTGACTACTATTTATTATGATTTACAATAGTAGTCATTGTAAAAAATTTTGTTTAGTTGCAAAATTTTTTACAATGTTTTGGTGTACTTTTAGGAATTTTTGACCTCGACTTGACCAACATTTTTTCTCGTTTCCATCTATTGGGTTTGAGAAAGAAATTAAATGAGTGTTTGCAGTCAGTGCCAATCCTTCTTAGTTGTTAGGTAATTAGTTTCTAAAGCAATTGCAATAAGACTTTTTTGAGTTTTTAGCCTACTATTTCGTATAATTTTTTCGTTTGAGACCATTTTTTTAACATTGGCCTTTTTATCTTAAATAGTGCGAATCTCAGCTTCCCCTCTGTGTTAAAAGATTTAATCAATATAGGGGTCGTGATGATTTTTCGTTAGACTTACTGCTGCTCGACTTAAATGGTACAATATTAAGCGTCTGGATTTGAAGTGAATTTATGTGCTAAAGAAATGATTTTTTTCTACAGATACGATTGATATATTGCCTGAAAACATCAGTAGACTCATTTTCACAAGCCACATTAGTCTCATCAGCAAAGAAAGTAAACCTGACTGTGATCATTGCCTTTTGCTATATCATTTCTGTGAAGTATGATCAATAAGGGTCCAATAACTTGCAGTTGCGGTATACAGTATGATGCATGTTTTTTAATCATCCAAATGTGAGCTTGTGTTGATGGCTTCTAAACCGGTCCCTACGTATTTTTCGAACGCCAGGTGAATCAAGCTTATCCAGCAGATTTTTTTATTTTACCGTATCGAATGCTTTTTGAGATCTAAACAAGTGTTAATTTTAATCTCTTCAATGCTTCAAAGAAGTTTTTCTGTCAAGTATACCTGATCATCGAAATAACTAACTGTTTTTATGAAAACCGATCATATTTCCATGCAAAATATTGAAACTCCTCTAATAAATTCAAAGTAGTGCGTTTTCGAAAAAGCGTTAAAGCAAATAAGCGAAGCCATTGGTCTGTTTTTGTTTGCATCTGTTCTGTTTTTGTGTGCATCTGTTCGCTATTTCCAGAAAGGCAGAAAAATGTTAATAGTTTCCAGAAGATCAGGAAAGAAGCCATTTTGAGCGAAAACTTTGACACACAAGTTAAGTATAGCGCAATCACGAGAGCAGTTTTTTGGAAACGTATATCATCAATTTAGGTGGACAGATTAGAATTTAGACATCAGTTATGTCCAAAATGTTAAAGATTTCATTCGGAAGTAGAAACATTCCTTTTGCACTTTTTATTGCTTGCAAGACATAATCAACTATAAAGGTATTGAGCTCCGCAGCTCAAGCCAGTGTTAGGAAAATGCTCTTTCAATTGGTTTGCAATATCCAAGCTGTAATCTTTATCAACTTCTCTTTTTGTTAGATGTTTTTACCAGTTATCTCACTGGAAAATTTAAAAATCGTCTCAAGTTTCCATAAAGTTTCTATTATGTTTTTGAAAATTATAGATATTTTGTGGATGTTTCGTTGGCTTTTAATGTTTCGGTTCATCTTCTCGATAGAGCAAACTTAGATAGAACTGCTCAAGTGAGTTT